TTGGACAATCTAACTGGGGTGATAATAGAATCTCAATGTTGTCTAGATTTTTTTTTGTCACTGATGGGACCTGAACTATGGGCCTGGGCACTGTCCCTCAGCTCTTCAGCTCAAGTCTAGCACTCTACCACTTGAGCCACAGCACCACTTCTGGCTTTTTCTGCTTATGTGGTGCTGAAGAATTGAACCCAGGGCCTCATGCATACAAGGCAAGCACACTACCACTGAGCCACCTTCCCAGCCTCTAGATTTGTGTTTCTTTATTGTCATGGCTGTTGAGCAGTTCCTCATATGTTTATTTGTCAGTCTTACTACTTTTTGGAGAAGTCTCTGTTTAGCTCTTTGCTCATTTATTGATTGGTCTGTTACTTTTAGAGGGGTTAATTTCTTGAGCTCATTGTATATTTGGGCTATTAAGGGTTTGTTGGATGTATTACTGGTAAAGGTCTTTCCCTTAGTCTATGTCTGTCTGTCTTCCTAGTTTGGTAACTATGTCCTTTTCCATGCAGAAACATATTACTGTGAAATAATACCAGACTCTCTCCTATTTTCTCTGCCCCTGAGACTTTTTTTCTCAAAAAGTTCCTACCTATGCCTGTAAGTTGTAATGTTTCTCCAACTTATGTTGCAGTAGTTTTGAAGTTTTAGGTCTGATGTTGAGGGCTTTGATCTACTTTGAGTTGATATTAGTGCATGGGGACAAATATGGATCCACATTTAGTTTTCTGCATATGTATGTCTAGTTTTCCCAATAGCAATTATTAAAGAGGCTGTCTTTTTTCCAACATATATTTTTGGTGCCCTTGTTAAATATCAAATAACTGTAGATATATGGTTCGTTTTTGGGTCTTTTTAGTTTGTCTCATTGAAGAACATCATTGGAATTTTGATGGGGACTGCATTGAATTTGTAGACTACCTTGGAAATATCATCATATTCATAGTAGGTCTTTTCTATTTCCTATTCCTTTCTTCAGGTTTTTTACAGTTTTCAGTTAGCTATTTTTTACCTCCTTGGTTAGGTTTATTACCAAATATTTTATTTTTTGAAGCTATTGCAAATAAAATTGTTTTCCTGATTTTCCTCTCTGATTGTATATTGTTAATATGCAGAAAAGCTACTAATTTTTGTGGGTAGATTTTGTTAGTTTGCCATAGTTATTGATCAGCTCAAGGAGCTTCTGAGTAGTGTGTTTTAGGTCCTTTAGTTATAAGATTATGTTGTCTGCAAATAGAGATAGTTTCAGTTCTTTCCCTATGTGACTTCCTTTTATGTCTTTCTCTTCTCTTACTACCCTGGCTAGGAATTCCACTATTATATTGAAAAAGAGAGTGGACATCTTTGCCTTGTTAGTTATTTTAGAGGAAATGGTTTTAGTTTTTCATCATTTACTGTGATGTTGGCTGTTGGTCTGTCATATGTAGCCTTTATTATGTTGAGGTATGTTCTTTTTATTCCTAGCTTCTCCAGAGCTTGTAACATGAATGAATGTTGGATTTTTCCAAGGGCTTTTTCTGTATCTATTGAGATGATATGTAATTCTTGTCTTTGTGTTGTGTTATGTTTATTGTTTATATATGCTAAACAGCCTTGTATCTCTGGGATAAAACTGACATGATCATAGTGTATACTTATTTGACTAGCTGGTAAGTTCTGTTGGCAAGTATTTTAATAAGGAGATTTGAATCTATACATCAGATTGATTGGTCTATAGTTCTTTTTATATCATTATCATTATCATAGTTCTCTTTTATTATACCTGGTTTGGGATGAATGTAATATTGGGTTCATAAAATATATTTGGTAGTGATTATTCCATTTTTATTTATTGGAAAACTTGGAGGAGTATTAGTGTTCATCTTTAAAAGTCTCCTAGAATACAGCTATGAATCCATTGGGATCTTGAATTTTCCTTGCTGGAAGGCTCAATAAATTCCTTGATCTCACTGCTTATTACAGGTCTGTGTAAGTAGTTTATATTTTCTTGGTTCAGCTCAGGCAGTTGGTATGTCTTTAGAAATGTAGTTTATTCTATTGCCTATGCTTTCAACAGTGATTTGTAATAGGGAGATATAACTCTTCATGATCCCAAGATCTTTGCTGCTATAATCTCACATATACTTTATTGAACTTTTCATGGCATCTACTGCCTTGTTAATATCATTTTTCATTTCTTTCATTGAAATTTTTAGCTTCTTCTTGTTGATATTGTCTTGAATATCCTTAATTTTCTTCATCATTTTATTTTTCTTTTGTCCTTTATCTCTTTGTATTCTTTTAGTTGTTCATGGAACTGCTGTTTAATTTTATCAGCTAATTCTTTCATTATTGCCTTAATGGTTCTTTTGTTTTTTTTCTCGTTCACTCACTGAAGTCCTCCCCTGAGTTGTTAGATTTTGAGTTACATGTTTTCTTGATTGCTCATGAATTGTGTGATTTTTCACTGTGATTTACACACTTGGATTCAGGCTTTGTACAGCCCATTCAGCTTGAGTTCACTCATGATGGGAGTTGGTGATGTGAAGTTGAAAAAGTAAGGATTCTAGTGCAAGGGAAGTGTGAAGAAGGAACAGCTTGCAAGCAATATCAGTGGGGAAAGGAAATATTAGATTATATTGGAAAGATGAAGAAGGAAAAAAGGACAAGGAAGGAGTGTATAAAACTAGAATAATAAGCAAGGGAAAGAAAGAGAATCCATATGATCTACTCCAATGAAGTAAATAAAATTAAGATACATTGAGTCCCGACCCCTAAACATGAGTGCAGCCAACTCTAAACAGCATAAGCCAGGTGCTGATATCCCCACACATAAGCACCCTTTCACTTTTGAATAAAGTGCTGCAATAGAAATGACAAAAACATGAAAAAACAAACAAGCAATAAATAAAACCAATTAGATGCATAAATAAAATACAAAAATAGGAAAGAAGAAAGAAAAGGAAAAGAAAGAAATTTTCTAATTAGTACGTGGGAGAGCTGTTCTGTGAATCAGTTTAGGTGAGTTGGAGTACTTTTGTCTTCCATCTTTTTGGTAACATAGGGCTGAGGGGGACAGGGACTAGCAGTCACAGTGGTCAGTGCAGACATTCTCAGCCCTTCTGTTCTTTCTGGGGCTGCAGGAAGGTTGATCCACAGCTGCATGGAAATCAGAAAAATAAACATATATTTTTTTCTGCTGTCCTGGGATAGCTCCTTCCCCCACCATCTGTGTCCCGAGAAAGAGCATGGTACTAGCTCACAATTTATTTCCACATTTATCGTTGCTTTTGTGGTCACTTATGGCTGCTGTAGAGGGATGTGTCTCAGTATGCAGTGGTACTGTGGGTTCCCTCTCTGGCCATGGCATGTACATAGCAGGTGGTGATGTGCAAGCCAGCTGCTTGGGCCTGGCTGGGTACTGTCCCTGGAAGTTCCCTACATGGAGAGGCAAAGGTGGGCTGGTGGGGCCAGACTGGGTGCTGACTTTGGTGGTGGGTTGGTGCTGTTAGATTATTGGGCCACCCTCACTGGCAATAACATGTGGATTGTAGAGTGCCAGCCTATAGTTCAGGCTTGCTTTGATGTTGTCCCTGGTGGCTTCCATGGCAGGGGTAAGGGGTAAGGTGTCAGGGGAGTGTTTCAGCCTGACATTCAAGGTGTCCTGCATTAGAAGTCCCAGTCCATCGCTACAGAAACATTGTGGCAATGCTTTGTCTCTGAGTGACAGATATTTTGTTTAGCTTCCAGTTTGAAGACAAAATCTACCTCTACCAGATTACAAAGCCGTGTGAAACACAGATGGCTTTTCATTTTCATGTAGTGCATTGAGATAAACTGAACTCTTTTTTGTCTTCTATTGAAATTTCTATTGAAGAAAATATTTTGGTGGAAAGTGAAAAATATTGAAAATGAGTCTAAATTCCACTGGTCTAGTAATGAATTTCTTCTAAAAATCCTAATTAGTTACTTAGAATAATAAGGACAAGAAAATTATTATAAACTCATTAGAAAAATAACAATTGTTTAAATTGCTTATGACATAGACACTAATATTAACATAAAGTTGACCTTTTATTATAAAAATGCTTTAATCAAGAAAATGAGGTGTGCAGTAGTTTATAGGTACACCATTGTGTTTTATGTCATGGTAGAGATCTGTGAAATATTTTTCTTTTTTCTTTTTGAGTCCGGTCGTGGGGCCTGAACTCTGGGCCTGGGCACTGTCCCTCAGCTCTTCAGCTCAAGGCTAGTGCTCTACCACTACTTCCGGCTTTTTTCTTTTTGCTTATGTGGTGCTGAGGAATCGAACCCAGGGCCTCATGCATGCAAGGCAAGCACTCTACCACTGAGCCACCTTCCCAGCCTGTGATCTGTGAAATATTTCTAACTCACTGGATTTAGAGTATGTGCTTGTTGTCTTTATTATTTAAAAAAAATAGGAGATTCCCAAATGCCTTCCATCCCTGCTCATCTCGATGAGTTTATATATACATATATATGTATATATAAAAGTTATTTATTTTTTTAGCTACTCTTTAAAATTATTGAGTACACACTAAGGCCTTTAAACATTCCTAATATTCCTTTCTATCCTTGTATGACATGAAGTAATCGTGCAATGATTCTGATGCTCTAGCCAGAAAGCTGCATGCAAATGCAAGTGGATGGGTGAACAAAACCCAACCAAAAAATGCCATTCAGATCTGGCCCTCTTCCCTTGACTTGTGTTAAAGAAAGCAAGCATTGTTCTTCCAGCAAAGGATTGTTCACAGAGATTCACTGGATGAAATGCTGATCCAGTGTTTCTACTGTATTTTACATGTGCCTAAAAACCATTTGCAAAAAATAAAATAAAAGGTGTTATCTTAATGTGGCAACCACCAGCCTACCTTAAAAACAAATGTTGGTGACAGCCAGTTAAGTTACCCAAAGCCGTCTGTGGTCTTACCTGTTCCTATTTGAAAAACCATTTCATGTACACACTACTGAGGTGAGTCTATAACTTGAACCATGGGTTCAAGTTTTAGGGTTAAGAACAAACTATATAAATGTTTTTTAAAAAAAGTCTTAGAGTTTTATTTTCAAACATGTTTGTAGTTTAGTTATCTGTAGCTGCTTTGTATTGGAAAAGCTTTTTAGATCTTGCTCCATTTACAATACATTCTAGGGATGTACGTAGTAAATAAAGCTTTCTTTAAAACAAAAAAATCAATTTAAGTCTTCCCTATTTATATGCATGTTTTTTTCAAAAAATAGTAAAATAAATATATTTTGTATTATAAACGTATTAATAGTTTTCATGTGCTGAAATCTTATTTGCGAAAAGCTTTAGTGGCTGCATAGTTCTTTCATTATGGGGAAGTGCTTTAATATATTTAACTACTCATTGATTTTAATTACTAGATGGTTTTCAGCTATTTTTTCTTTATGTTTTCCATTAACTTTTTCATTCTATGCTGGTATTCTGCCACTTGATCCACACTTCCATTTCTGGCTTTTTAATGGTTAATTGAAAGTCTCGTAGACTTTTCTACCTGAGCTGGTTTCAAATCATGATATTCATATTTCAGTCTCTTGAGTATTTAGGATTACATGTGTGAGACATCAATATCTGGCTGCCATCAACCTCAACTTCTTCACTTTAGAAAGGAGATTGGCAAGAACACTCCAGGTCTCCTGGCATGCCTTAGCATGTGTGTGTGTGTGTATGTGTGTGTGTGTGTGTGTGTGTGTGTGTATGTGTGTGTGTGTGTGTGTATGTATGTGTGTGTGTGTACATGTACACTTGTGCACACATATGAGTATGTATGTTGTATTGGGGCCAAAAGAATTCACATTTTACTTTGTTCTAAACCAAATCTCCAAAGCCCATGAAAAATAAAAAAATTAAAAAAAAAAGTTAAGTGCTTAGGAGTTTTGAAATACCCAAATGGATCTAGCAGTGGAGACGCCTCTTGCATAGCAGTCTAGGGGTTTGCTGTATATTAGAAAAATTCTACAGGTTATGATGGTTGTGGAAAGCAAGCTTGGTCTTCAGGTTTGAGTGGGGTGAGGCATGAATTGAACTGAACTTAGCTGAAAGCTAGCTTCTGCCTACAGGAGAAATGATACTCAAAGCCACAAAACAGCAAAGAATTCCTACATAGGTTTGAGGTCGATAAGCAAAACTCCTACTTGGTTATAACAGTTCTTTCTAGAACCCGCTTTTTCTCCTCACCATCTAAGATAAATCTTTCCCAGGACTCAAGCTTCCACAGACCATGAAAAGAGGGAACTGGGGTTAGAATGACACAAGTTAAACAGGGTTCCTCTGGTATTCTTTCAGTGTTTCTGTCTCTTACCCAGATTAATAGACTCCAATTTTCTCTGGACAAGCACAGATAATTGCTGCTCTTTACTCCATGCTCTCCCTTAAGAGAAATTTCTCTGTGAAATGGTTACCCATTTCACACTTGGCAGTGTATGAATATCAGATTGTCCTTGTTAATCTTTTTTTTTGTTTTGTTTTTGTCCATTGTGGGGCCTGAACTCTGGGTCTGGACCCTGTCTCTCAGCTCTACAGCTCAAGGACAGAGCTCTACCACTTGAGCCACAGTGCCACTTCCAGCTTTTCTGCTTATGTGGTGCTGAGGAATTGAACCCAGGGCCTCATGCATGCAAGGCAAGCACTCTACCACTGAGCCACCTTCCCAGTCCCTGTCCTTGTTAATCTTTATGTAAGATAAGTTTTTTTCTTCTCTTTGGTGTTGGAAAAATTGGAGACTGAGGCAGAGAGAGAGTATGCATGACAGAAACAGAGACAGAATGAGAGAAAGCAAGAATTAAAGACAGTGAGAAGCTTGTGTGTGTATATGTATGAGAGAAAGAAAAAGAATTAGAAAGACAATTGAGAGGAAATTAACTCACCTCACAAAGTTTGCAAATTATTTCCTTTGAATGGGAAGATATTTCCATGGTCAAAAGTTCATGGTCTGATGACTTTTTTCAGGCTGATCTGGGTTCACTGTGGATGAGAGGGAAGGGAAGAGAATGGAAAGAGAATTCTGAATAACATCATGAATTATGAATGAAGAATATAGGAACAACTTATAGATATCAGAAAAGGCTGAGCTACTTTCCCTAATCAGGTTTAGAGATTTTGTGACGATTAAAAACAATATATATCAGTGTCCAGTACACAATGCAATGGGTGGCAGCCCTCTTAGTGCTGTGGGGCTCCTAACTTGTGCTCATTGGCACAAATTAGATCCTGAGCATAGTAAGGCTAGGACACAAGAGCAAGTCCAGGAGTTTTTCCAGAGATAATTCAAGGCATTCATCATAATTAATGAGGTGGATATTTAGCTAGGATATTTGTTGTGCTGTGGAATGCAGGTTTTTAAACATATTTGAAAAGGAAAGAGTTAGTAAAATATGGCATACTATTCCCAGAATGAGGGACTTGGAACTTTTGCGTTTGTTCACTGATATACTGAGTGGCACTGAGCAATATTTTGTCCTTCAAAAAGATAAAAAGTTCTAGAGTACATAATCTTCCTAGGGTTTGTGTTAGTGCCTGATTCTGAACTGTGTATTTTTCAATTTCTCACTACCCTTCATTGGCTCCATAACAAATAAACCCGGGATCTTTTCTGTTCATGCAACAGAAGTTGAATTTCCATAGTATTATTTGATTCTTTTACATCCAATGTTCTTTAAAAATGCAAGATTAATACTTGCTAATTACATAAGGATTTTCACTATAGAAAAATTAAAACAACAATGTAAAGTGTCATGTAGCACAGCATGATTTCTAGTGGATAGGAGATAAATCTCAATCCTGGTGACTAGAACATGTTCAAAGGACACAAAGAGGCCACAGATTACAGACCAAAAGCAGAAAAGGAAGCTTAGATCTGAGCATCAGAAAGAATCTGTGAGACAGATTCTTTGGCTAACTTGAATCACACACTGTTGCTATATATATAAATATTACTGAATATACACAAATATACTCAACAGTCTTTTTATGTAAGTAAAGGAGAAAACACTGGCATTGCCTTTCCATATTTCTTCTTCTCCTAGCTACAGTGTCTAAGGAGGCATCTGTCTTGCCACCATGAGGAAAACATAATGAGAATTATAGAAATGTTGTCTTTGGCATTGATCGGCCCCTGTACCAACCATTGGATTTCTTAGTTGTATGCTGTATGTTATATTCAACAATTAAATAGTGTTATGGCAGTATGTTATATTCAACAAGTAAACAGTGTTATGCCTGAATTTTGGCTCACAAAATTCATATGCTGAAGTTGTAATGCCAAAATCTTAAAATATTACGGTATCTGGAGATAAGGTCTTTAAAATGGTAATTAAATGAGTCCATCACAGTGGACTGGTAAGAAGATTAGGATACATACACAGAAGAAAGATTATGGGGAGAATATAGTGAAGAGGTGTTATCTGTAAGCCATGAGGAGAAACCTCAGAGTACACCAACCTGTTAGTGCTTTGACCTTATGAATTAACTTCTGCAAATGGGAGAAAATTAAGTTTAGTGAATATTTGTGCAAATGAATACAAATGCCTTATTGCTTAAGTTGTAGCAAGAAGAGTTTTGTTCCTTACAGCTGAAAGCTCTCTTGATACTTTTCAGTTCTTCAGAAACATGTGATTGGAATTTTAGGGTCCAGGTAATATATTGTAAATTCTTTCAGATGGAAACAAAATACTAGTGATTTTTATTTTGGATTATAATAGCTAGGTTCTTCAATTCATATTCTTTGTCACAGAAATGTTCTCAACAATTTTCAGAAGACTCCTTGAGAGTGCAGCAAAAAGGCAGCATAAGTACATAAAGGAAAAGGAAAACTGCATATTTAAGAAGGGCTATGACAACCCATGAGTCTTTCACAAAAAAAATGAGGCGAATTGACATTTGTTACCATGAATATTTACATAACTATCCAAATAGCTTTCCACTTCCCTATGTAGTCATCCTTTCAAATTCTATTGTGACCTTGGGAAGAATGAACACTTATAGCATTTGACTGTGGCCTTGATAAAGAGCACTGCAGACCTAAGTTTATCTGTGCCTTCGAAATATGTCACTGGAGCATCACTAGAAGCATTCACCTTTATGAATTAGCACATGTTATCTTTTAAAAAGTATTATTTAAGTAAGTATACAAAGGGGTTTCAATTGTACTTGCCAGTTTGTGAGTGCAATGCATCTTGATCAATGTCATTTCCTTCTTACGTCTTCATCCCTCCCAACCCAACTCATCCCCTCAGTTTAATTGGCTCAGTTTTCACATATGTACTTTGAATGTAGTACCTGCCACCTTTAAAAGCAGTCTTCTATAAAGAAATGGGTTAGATGTGTCTTTCAAGAAAAGACAGGTGACTTTAACAATGTATGTGAATGAAAAGATACATAAATAAAATTTTTCTGCTGAAAGAGAAGAGCAGGAATATCAGAAGAAATTAAATGTATTTATTTTGAAAATTGTTGATAAATTTATTTAGACAAATTTTGAAAAAAAACACAAATGAAACAGAATCTGTGCACTGGGGAAAGTTTTGCACAAATGTCCAGCCATATGTGTCTTTTCTTCTCGTACAAAAATTAATATTAGTAAAGTTGAATAGTTCTATCAAAAATAGAGACTATTCAGTAGATGAATGGATCAAGAAAATGTGGTATATATACACAATGGAATTCTATGCCTCCATCAGAAAGAATGACACTGCCCCATTTGTTAGGAAATGGAAAAATTTGGAAAAAATTATATTAAGTGAAGTAAGCCAGGCCCAAAGAAACATAGGTCCCATGGTTTCCCTTATTTGCAATATCTAGTATATGTATGAGTCAAG